GGGATCCTGGGAGGAGGCAGATGCAGGGGACTCTCTGCCTCCACTGGCACCCCACTCCCCGCTCCCCGAATGCTGTTCCCTCTCCCCTATCCCCAGCTACAGTACTCTGTCCTTATTCCCGTCCCCACTCCCTGAACTCTGTTTCCACTGGCACCCTATCCCCAGCTGCAGAACCCTGTCCTCTCCCCTCCTAGCACCCTGTTCCCTCTCTCCTGCCCACGGCCGCAGAACTCTGTCCCCACAAAATGTATAATTATAAATGCTTCATTTTAGATTTAAATAGCATGAATAAAAAACAGACCATTTATTTCATAACTATAAACATGTGATTTTAATTTTATATATCGCATAATTTAAAAATAAACTGTTTATTAGAGTGTGTAAGCAAGGGCTGGGGATAGCAAGTGATGGACAGGAGGAGAATAGAGAGGGCAGGGCAGTAGATCTTCGCCTGTTCCGAGATTTAAAAAGTGATCTTGGGTGTATAAAGGTTGGAGACCACTGGCCTAGGCAGAGTGGAGTTGCAGTCAAACTCCTGCAGAAATTCCCTAGATGACAACTGTGAAAGGTCTGCGATGGGGTGCACCAAACCCACACGGGGCCACTGGAATAATCACTGAGAGCCCAGGAGATCATGCCCCACCCTCCCCTGCTGCCACAGCAGGGGTAGCTCCAGGAGCCGACTCCAGCCGGGACTGAGCAGTCCTGGCTCGTGTCAGCTCCGGAGCCACCCGGGCTGCGGCTCTGTATTTTCAGTGTAGTAAGAGCCACTGGGTTCTTACTACCTTTAAAATGCAGAGACACAGAAATCAGCGCTAGCCAGGACTGCTCAGTCCTGGGTCATGCGGAGTCCAGCAGCCCCTGTTCGCAGCAGACAGCACTGGCCACCGTGAACAGGGCAGGTGCTGGACTAGTCCCTGTTCGTGGCAGCCAGGGCTGGCCACAGGCAGGGGATGCTTGTTGGCAACAGCCCATGTCTCAGCAGGGAGCTGAGCATCCCCCATGGACTCCTGTAGACAGGGGATGCTTCGCTCGCAGCAGCATCCCCCCCCTCCCCCACCTCTGATAGAGGTGGGGGCAGAAGGCGGCAGCACTCTGAAGAGGGTGCTGGGGGGAGCTGGCTTAAAAGCATCAGCTTCAGTCCCCCCCACCCTTGCTGCATTTACTTGTCGAATAATTGACTCGTCGGTAACATCCCTAGGAGTGACCCTGGGGATATAGCAGAAGTCGATGCCTGAACCCTTAGCAGGGAAGCTCCCAGCCGCCTAGGACTCTGGGTCAGAACTGAGCGGGAGGGGCCAAGTTCCCCTACTACACCCCACAGACCACTAGGAGTGGTTGCTATTTGCTCTCAATCCCAGCCCAGAGGCTCAAGGACCACAGACTACTCATTCCCCCCCACCCCCTCCACCCAGGGGCTACCTACTGCCTATTGCTGTTCTGCCCCTACTCAGAGGGCCAGAACCCCAAATGTAACTGCCTGCCCCAGCTGAAGGCTTGGGGGCTACTGAGTGTTTGTTTGCTCAGTCCCATGCAGGGACTGAAGCTCATGGCACTGCAATTACATGTCACAGGGCACCAGCTGGGTGGAGGGGGTGTACCAGCCCCCGAGTGGATAAAGGAGGGAAGACTGGCTTGAACAACAGTGCCCCTCCCCCGTTACATTCTGTCATTTGCACTTGCAGATCTCCTTTGCTGGCTGCCAAATTCCAGCTCTTGTGCAATATAGCTCATGGGAGATACTGCTTGCAGAAGGGGAGAGGCATTATCTCAGGAAGATGGGCTACTCCCACAGAAGGCTCTGATGTCAAAGTAACCTCTATACTGCTGGAGTTCTGCCTCAGCCAACTGCTCTTCAACTAGGTGCAAATCTCAGCTAAGCAGTGGGCAAGCAAGTTCTAAAAAGCAACTGTGCACTTAATTTACATGACTGCAAACTGGTTTCTTGCACAGGACTCAGAACATAACCCTTAGCAGTAAGTATTAACAACATGAAAACATACTAGAGCAATGTTTTACACTTACCACTGATATACTTTCCAGAGAGTCGGGTTCTGGATTCTCTGAATCTGCCGAATGACTGTTTTGGGCATTGTGCGCTGAAAGTCAGCCTGGACCTTCTTGTATTCGTCAGAAGAGCTGGGAAGTTTGATGAGCTGTAAAAAATATATATATATACACACATAAGCCACTCTCTTATCTTTTACAGACACATCACAAGCCATCATATTATTACTTCTCAAGTCCTGAAAGTGAACTTTAGAAACACAGGAAATTAACTTGAGCTTTCCTACATTTACTGGAAGATTCATTGAAGGTTTAAATGGGGAAATCCTGAGAGTTCTTATTCTTTAAATAAAAAGATGGGAGCAGGTATCTTTAAGATTCAAAGGGGGAGAAAAAAAAACTTTATTTCTCCCCAGTTATAGTAGCTAAACAGAGCTGAGGGAGGAGGTATTCATGAAATTTGTCAACTTCTTTATTCTATTTCAAATTTTCAAAATGTGAAAAATTTCCACCCACTTTACTAAATAAATGTTAAGAACAAAACCCATAACATTAGTAAAATATTTCCTCCTCTTGACTGCACATTTATAATAAAAAAAGCCCAACCTTCCCTTCCACCCTGTCCTTCAGATCATCTTTAAGGTGCTGCCTCAGGAATACCTTGTCTATAATCACCTGGCAGTATACTCTACAATGAGACTAAAATCCTGTATTCCTACCTGCTCCATCCAAGAATAGGAATGAAGTAAGTTTGCCTCACCACCTGATCAGCTATTTTGTGCTGTTGAATTTATAGTGCCAGTGCCCAAAAAATGTATAGCCCCTTGGACCAGAACCAAACACAAGACAACATAGCACAGGGGAGGAGTAAATAGAACTGAAAAGCGGTTTCAATTCAATTCTCCCCAATTTGACTACTGGACATTAACCAAGTCTTGTCTCTAGGTTAATGCAGTCATTGCAGCTTGATTAGGCCAAAGCCCAGATCCTCCAGTAAGATCTGCCTGAAAGGTGATGATTCTTCCAGACACCTAAACCACCACATGGTCATCACATTCCACAATGGCAGTCAGGTGGAAAGCGGACCTCTTAAACACCAATTTATTCTGTTTCCCCAATTCTACTGTAACACAGAACCAAGGAGAGACCATTCACTAAACTGACAGCTAACGCTACTTATCTAACAAAACACAAGCTCTTGGTTCCAAAGAAACTTGCATCTATCGAGGCATGCAGTTGGGTGATAAGGACACGCTGCCCCTCACACAATCTCGCCCTCAGAAATGTGGTCCCACAAAAGAGAAAGGTGAGGGATATGAAAGCTTTCTAGCTGCTACTGCAAGAAGAGGTACAATCAGAAGTCACAAGGTGGTGGTGCAATATCCCCTAAGTGGGACTACGCAGAGTCTCTCTCAAAAAGCCTATGTTTTAAAACGCTGTACGTGGTCAGATAAAGTAAGAGCTCCATACCTTGTATCCCAGTTCAGGTAAAGCTGATTTGTCCCAGTGAGCTGGAATGGATTCTTCTTCTGAATAATCAACACCACTGTATAATACAAGAGATTTTGTATTTATATTAAAAAAAATCATAATATTTACAGCATTACACTGAAGGAGAGCTTTGCCTAAGTTAGAATAGATAATAGGAATAGGGATAAAATGACAGGAAAGTGCTCAGTATCAACTGAATTACTAAACTGAGCTCAAACTACTCATAATGTTGTCGTAGAGGTCACCAGTTCTCACACAAACCAAACATTTAGGGGTTACATCCCTTGTGTTACCATTAAGCTCACTTTGCTTGGGCCTTCTGCAGTTTTGCATCCCAGTCTCTAGGTGGTAAGAGGTTATGGCCTTTCTACTGATTAATAACAATCTACCATTACACATGTCCAATTCCAACTGCCTACACAGGACTAGAACATAGATCTTGAGATATCATATATCAGAGCATTATGTGAAAATATGGAAACACTGAGCTCCTGTGTAGCCTCAAGATATTAAAATGTTATTTTCTAGTTCCTAACAGCCAAAATGTCAAGTTTAATCTTCAAATCCAGCTTGACTTGATAGCAACAAAAGCATGCTTGGGGCACCTATGTATAACAGTGGTTAGGAAACATTTCAGCATCACAAATGCATTGTGCTTGTTCTCATTTACAAAACACTAAACAATGTCTCTCTCATTCTAAACTCACTTACCCAAGAGAGCATGTATAGCTAAGTTACTACACTATTTTATCTAATGGCCCTCCATCACTTATTAAAATAAAACAACAACATCATCATCCTCATGATGGAGATATACCATCTCATAGAACTGGAAGGGACCGTGAGAGGTCATCGAATCCAGTCCCCTGCCCTCACAGAAGGACCAAGTACCATCCCTGACAGATTTGCCCCAAAGCCCTAAATGGCCCCCTCAAGGATTGAGCTCACAATCCTGGGTTTAGCAGGCCAATGCTCAAACCACTGAGCTATCCCTCCCCCCTAC